GTATAAAAGAATTTGGCCCTTGACTGTAATAAGTCTTTATCACTCTCTGTAGGAATTGAGTTGAGGTTCCAGAACTTCAGTCTGGAGCAGGACTATGACTACGTGTCCCTGTACGATGGTCCCACCACCAACTCCCCTCTACTGGGCAGGTTCACTGGACAGACACTTCCTCCTGTGCTGTATTCACAGTCCAATGAAGTCGTCATTACATTGACAACTGACAGTTCAGTGAAGGATGATGGGTTTGCACTTCAGTATGAAGGTACTGAGCTTTGACTTAGTTTGATCCCACCATGGCCCATCATCACAATAGGTATTATCATACATAAAATCACATAAGATACAGGGTAAACCACAAATAACAATAAGGATAATGCATACTAGCCATATTGTGCTTTTATCATAGGATAATGGTAACATTATGTTCAAGAACAGTTACAGTTATCTGAAGAAACTGAAAGTGAGACAATAAATTTGGAAGCCAGGCTGCCATTACTGCTAGATTGTACAAGAAGTTGTGTTACGCTATTCCTTTCAGCATTTCTTGCACGAGACTGTGTCACACCACCGGCGCTGCAAAATGGTCACATTATTGGGACCAGCTATGCGACAGGCTCGGTGATTCGGTATGAGTGTGATGAGGGTTTCATCGTGAGTGGCCCGCCTGTTCTTACCTGTCAGCAGGACACCCTGACATGGAGTAACCCTTTCCCCACTTGTGACGGTAGGTAGAGAAACGCTTATGAGTAATTTACCTGTTGTCAGTCAAGACTCCTTCTGGAAAATATACCAGAACAGCTGCATGCATTGTTTTTTCAGTTATAGGGAAATCTTCAGTAGGCTATCATACAAACTTATCACAAAGCTAATGTCACAAATTCTTTTATATCTGCAAGGTAGGTTAATTTCCTCCATATCCTCCACACTTGAAAGTGTGTTATATTGAGTGACTGTGTACCATCATGTTTCCACTGCAGCTCCATGTGGTGCCAACTACACAGCCCTTTCGGGCACCATCCTGAGCCCAGGCTACCCTGGGTCATATGGTAACCAGCGGGACTGTCGCTGGCTGATCATGCTGCCACAGGGCATGGCTGTACAGTTCAGCTTTGACCTGTTTGATGTGGAGGATGGGTATGACTATCTCACCTTCAGGTCAGTAATACTTATCAGGCAGATTGTAGCTTTGTCTTAAAATGAACCTCACCCCTTATTTAGAAAATTCAAGGGAATGTTAAATGAATGCTTCCTTGATCCAGACTCTTTGGAACCTAAAAAAGGAGCATTCAGAGCCCCATGCAAGCACAACTTCAAACAGCTTTGTATCATTTGACAATGTGAAGAGGCTAACTTTTAAAAGCTGTCTTCAAATGTATCTCTTAGCTTTTGAATAAGTAACTGAAGTATAGGAATGGCATATTAAATTGTCTGTGTTCTTGTTTTCAGAGAGGGCCTTACTACATCCTTACCTGTCACAGTCCAGCTGACTGGTGTTCAAGCAAATGACACCTACATTCCCTCCAATAATGTGCTGGTACAGCTCACCTCGGACTACTCAGTTGACGGCAAGTTCATGATGCGCTACACAGGTACATGAAGATACGGTTTTTATGTACTTACAATGTAGACTCCAGAGTGTATGTAGGCAGTGCTTGAAATACTTTTTTCTGCATACAATGTAGTTGCACTGATGCAGGCATCATTTAAGATCACCTCCACCAGTCAAGTTTGACTTTCTTTGCCTTGAAGTTTCAATTCATTAAGAATTGAAATGTTTCGAAAAAAAATTTTCTGGTACAGTATAGGTCCATTTTTAAAATTTTACTTTTAAAAGTTCCCTGCTGTCTTGGAATATGCAACTTTGAAGAACTTGCAATGCAATGCTGTTTTTGACCACTACTGGTGTACATGTATGTCCCCCTAGTATCTGGGGCTGGTTTTGTCATGGCCGAGTGCAGGTAAGATGCAGGTTTGAAATCAGAAATACCTGCACAGTCCCAATTTTACCTGCACTAACCTGCATCTGCAGGTGTTTTTTGAGCCCATGATTGAAGTGTCCAACCATAGCAGATCATCAGAAGATTCCACTTCAATCATCTTTGATTTCTCCTCTGTCATGATCAGGTGTTGCTTCCCGGAGCTGCCCGACACTACCAGATGTACCAAACTCTGTGCGGATAGGAGATGGCAGTGCTATCGGGGATGTGGTGAGATATGTGTGCAACCGTGGGTTCACCATTACGGGGGCTTCCACCCTGACCTGCAGGGGTGGTAACATCACAGCCTGGGACAACAGCCCACCAACATGTACAGGTGTGTGTCTGAACCAGTATATTATGGTACATATACAGGAAGATTATCTCCTTCACAAAGAAAGCATCAAATGTTTATAACTTTATGAACAAAGGTGACCATCAAAGATGTGAGCTGTTGGTATGGGTGGCAGATTTTGTTGTTGTTTTGCTTCACAGTTCCACAACCTGCATATGCATGTATTGTGTTCTCATAATTTTGCATAACACTCATTGACAACTGACTTACAAATGTTTAAAAAAATTGCCTTTATTTATTTTTTATGATTTCCAGTGTTGTGCACAACTAATGACGACCGTTCAGATGGCAGCGGTGTGATCCTGAGTCCAGGCTACCCTAATAACTACCCCATCAATACCATCTGTGGCTGGACACTGCATGGGTGTAATGGACACCCTGTCACTTTATTTTTTGAGTCTTTCCAGTCAGAGGCCAGATATGACAAACTTGAAGTATTTGATGGTAGTGTATCAGTTAAAACTTTTATTTGCTTCAGTCTGTTCTGTCTTGATTGTATTGCTGTATGATGAACAGTTTTTAGTCAAGTGAGATGCATTGTTGGTTCTCTTATAGGCAGTAACAGTCACTTATGGCACTGATTTGTAATCTGCTATAATATGTAGATTACTATAAACAAAAGCAGCACATGTTCAGATACCTAACATGTGTATGTTTCCATCTTGTGACATACATGTATTTAATTTTATTCCTGAAGGAACGACTGATGCAGGCACTGCAGCTGTGACCTACACTGGACGCCCCAATCCTGTAGCCAACTACACCAGTCCAGGGGCAGTCATCTTCCTCAAATGGACCAGCGATTCTTCCATTACAGATTCAGGCTTTGTACTTATCTACCGATGTTAGTATGCTGTTTTTATCATTGGTATTTCAGTCCTTTCATAGAGAGTGCACAGTGTGAGTGAACACAGTACAATAATATCACACAGTAATAATACAGCATGTTTGGACTTTTCATTCTATTTTGCTTTTAGTGTCAAACATTTAGTGACAAACATTTTGAAAGCAATAAATCAAATGTTTTGGTTTCCAGCATCCTGTTGCAATGACCCAGGAATACCAGACAATGGCAACAGACAAGGAAACAGGTGCGTGTCATATGAAATGCTCTTAAAGAAACAATAAACAACAATCTTGTAATTGAATTAAGGATATTTGGAACATGCATGTAGGTTGACTGCTGATAGAAAAAAATATCTATCTGTGATAGAAAAAATTTCAAGAAAGGGATGAATACAGTGTTGTTAATTGGGTTGCTATGAACATTTTTGTTTTTTTGTCTTTCAGTTTTAACCCCAATGACAGAGTGACATTCAGTTGTAATGCTGGGTATACCCTGGTGGGACAAGCCACCGCCACTTGTCAGCTGATGGGAAACTATGCATATGAGTGGACCAGCCCTGCACCTATCTGCCAAGGTGAGTACTTAGCAGGGATTTCGCACTGATGAATAACCCTACAAGAATTGTTGATTCTGAAATTGCATTTCATAGAGGTATTGAAAGTACTTTTTTAAGAAAAAAAGAATTCTAGGCTGAAGGTGTCCAGTTTTAATGATTTGGTACATACTACAGAATTTTGACTTAATATGAGCTTGATGTCATTTAGATTACCACTGCTATGCTAAACATTAATTGCTTCCTCTCTTACAAAAATTTAACTAAAGGCAACTTTTGTTACCAAACAGCCACCTCCTGTGGCATGCCCCGAGCCCCTGCCAATGGAATCATTGATGGGAATGACTTTACCATTGGCTCTACTGTGACTTACAAGTGCAACCTGGGATATCGTCTGCCAGCCTCTGCTGTCATGCAGATCACCTGTGGTGCCAATGGGTGGAGCAGCAACAACCCACCAGCCTGTCAAAGTAAGGACTATTGGGAGGGATGATTCAGGTTATATGGAAGTAATGTTAGGGAATGAGCCATGATCAGAAAGTTTCCTGAAATCATTAAAAAAGAAATCCAGAAAAGAAAAAAAAATGTAAATACTAGTAGATGGAAAGATAGAGACAGTTGGTAACATTAGAATGTATTTACCACATCTTGTTTGCATACATTGAAAATGTTATAAGATTTTGAACTAATTGAATCAGATGTTGTTACACACTCAGTACTGTTATTTACATGCATGCAGAATTTGTATTCAATTCTCATAGATTATATATGATTTATAATAATTTGTCTTGTATTTTCCAGTCAGCACATGTCCACGCCCAGCCTCTGTTGCCCACAGCACAATGACACCGTCCCAGTCTACATACAATTATGGGGACAGAGTTGACTATGGGTGTGCTGCAGGCTACCATCCTGTTGGCTTACATGTGCTGACATGTTTGGCAGACCAGACCTGGGACAACCCCCCTCCCACCTGTGAAGGTTTGTGAGTCAGTCTATGACAAATGTGGAGTCTGAGTCTTCTAATTCTACTGCAGCTGAAAACAGTTATTCTGTCTTACAAATAAGGGTAACCTCTAGTCAGTGATTTTGATTGGTCATGTAATGCTCTCATATATTCCATCTTCAACTGTGTACCTTGCAAACTAGCTGATTGTTTTATAAAGAAGTCAAACAGGTAACCTAAATTCTTGAAAAAACTGAGCTGTAAAATCTGTCTGTTCCAAAACTATAACCGTGAATAGTTCTGTACATTTTGTGCCTCTGTTATCCCTAATATTACATGTGGAATGTGACGTATGCATGCCTTTAATTGTTTCCCACAGTTAACAGATGTGCCCAGCTGCCAATCCCCCCCAATGGTGGATACAGATATGTTGCTGGGGCAAATGCTACTTACAACTCTGTCATACAGTACACTTGCAATGCTGGATACAACATACAGGGGTCACAACAGCGCCAGTGCCAAGCCGATGGCACATGGAGTGGTACTGATGTGCAGTGTGTAGGTAAGTTCCCTAGTTTTGCTGTTCTACACAAGCACAGCTCTGGAATGGCAAAATACATTTGTATGTCTGACTCAGATCTTCAAAAGAAAAATCATTGATTTCTAGATCAGTGTTAACATGTGATAACAAGCTTCTTTATAAAGATATGATCATCATAAATCTGCAAATTTCTTTTAAATCCACAGCGGAGGGATGTAGAGATCCAGGAATTCCCACGAATGGAAATCGTCAAGGCAACAGCTTCACCTACGGATCCACAGTGATTTACAGCTGTAACGAGGGCTTCAGACTGGTTGGCAGCTCCTACCTCACCTGTCAATCAAACCGTGAATGGAATGGCGAAATGCCTGTCTGCATCCGTAAGTTCTCTACATATTATGTAATGTAAGGGTTCGCTCTGGCATTAATGCATTCACCATGCAAATTCTGAACATAACAATTTTGTGATTTGGCAAACAGAATTTCTGCCACTACATATAACCATAATACCATCGAATAAAACAAATGATGAATGAAATGTTCTAATGCAGCACTGGTAATTTCTGAGCAGGAGAGAAGATTCTGAGCAGGAGAGAAGATTAATTAGCAGATTGATTAGAATTCTTTAATTTGTACTTTTCAACAATTATTGGATAGAATAACCCTGGTTTGTTGAAATCTAGAGGTTTCTAATATGTAACATTAGCTGTGATGCTTTAACAGTGATGTTGACTACAAGGAAGCCACTAATGACCATTTATGTTACTTTACATTCCAGCAATAACATGTGGGGATCCAGGTGTTCCATACTACGGTGACAGGGATGGTGATAGCTTCAACTACGGCAATATCCTTAACTTTACCTGCAATGATGGGTACATCCTACAGGGGGCACCTATCATACGATGTGAGCAGAATGGATTATGGAGCAACCCTATCCCAACCTGTACAGGTAAGAAGAGTATTGACTTCAGCCTTTGGAAAATTATATGTTACTTTTAAGTTCATGTATGTTCATCAACAAATTGGTTGGTAGAGAAATGATATGTTGAATATTCCAATGGCTGCCTCCTATATGAGACGTCATGCCTTGATCTGGTTCATTTCACTGATCATCAAATCATCAATACTGAAACTAATCTACATGTATCTTGCCCTCTACATTTTAGCTGTTGACTGTGGTGACCCAGGAACAATAGAACATGGTCACAGTGTGGCTCAAGCTGGAACGACCTACGGTGTGACTATAGAGTACTTCTGTGACAATGGATACTTCATCTATGGCTCTTCCTCCATACGTTGTCAGACTAATGGCCAGTGGGATGGCACCAAGCCAGAATGTCGCAGTAAGTTTCATGTTCTTATTATGGACATCTTAAAGTCATGAATTGATACTTTGAGAAAGAAGTAGTCAGCTCTTGTAAGAAGAAGTTGTCTGTGCTTTCTTATTACCTAATCCATTGGTTAGTGACCCTGCCCCTGCACCATGAGGTTGGGAGTTTGAATCCTGACTGTTGTTGCTCACCCGACATGCATGCTAGTGTAAAGGGTCACAGTCCTTATGACTGGATATTAAGCCGTTCTCCACTGTTCATTGTGCTTGTCGAAAGGAGCTAGGGGTATTTTCCTGGTGCAATGAATGATCATGTAAACATAGCATCTGTCTTATCTGTCATAACCAGTGGAAGTATTCAGTGAGCTAAAACAGGAGTTTACTTTTTCTAAAATCCATTCAGTGTACTTATTTTAACATCAACATTGATTCATTTCCCAGTTGTTGACTGTGGGGACCCTGGCACATCACCCAATACTAACAAGGGAGGAGACACAACTACAACATTTGGGTCGACTGTCACATACATCTGCACATCAGGACACACTATCGTTAGTGGTGACACGAGTCGTACATGCCAGGCAGATGGAACATGGAGTGGCTCAGCTCTCCACTGCTCTGGTAAATCTTCTTATCAAGACTTTATCAAGACTTATCAAGTTATCATAACTTTGATATAGGAGTAAATGATTAATCATTTTCTAGGGATCATGTCATTGACATTTCTAGTTAAAGATCCAAACCTTTGGAAATAGATGGAAATATTGTTATCCAGCAATTCAGGTTTTACACTATTAGAATTAATATGTAAACAGTTTTTGTTTTTCTATTGATCTATGACAGCAGCAGATAGTGCAGGATGCCAGGCGTACAACCTGTGTTCTCCAGCATGTTTGCAAAATGTACTGCACCAGCACAAAACACTTCATGTACATGTACATGTACTGTGTATAGCACCTTGGCACAATGTCTCATTTAGGGTGGTATTCGTGGATGACAGTCCGTCTTGAGTTTTCAAATGTTGGGTCAAAAAATATTTTCTGATGCAAACTAGAAAAATGGTTTGTCAACGTGTTTAAGATGCCATGAATACAAGCTGGTGCTCTCCTTGGTACTGAAGTGAGGTCCATTGTTGTTTAGGGATATTAGGGATATGACATTTCCACAATCTAATTTCTTATAAATTTTCTCTCACCATGTTATCTGTTAGAGGATAACGTTACAGGTACTTTCTTTATCACTTTTCAGTACATGATTATATGGGAACATTTAGACATGGATTGAATGCATGCCATTGCCAAATTCCATTTGTGATGCATTCCTTTGTCGTTTACATTTATATCAATACCTTTATTATTTATTATTGATTGCAATTTGTTCAATGCAATTTTATGACCAGATTCTTGAATTGGGATTAATGTGGAATTATGAAAATTATGAAAACAGTGCCCAAGGTTTTGTATTACCTTCCTATCTAGTATGTACATGTAACATTAAATAAAACTCTTGACTGTAATTTTGCTCTAGGGTCTACAACCACTTGTGGTGATATTGGGGACCCACCCCATGGGCGATTTGTGCCCAAGAAGAGCACATACAACCCCAATGACCAGATCACATTCAGCTGTGACACAGGATACAACCTACAGGGCAGCCAGTCTCTCACATGCCAGTCTGGTGGAGCTTGGAGCAGCACCAGACCTGACTGTATAAGTAAGCACTTCACTTCATCATAAAAGAATCCTTAAGGAAAATTCTTTTAAAGAAAATACTGATTCTCACAAAATGGAATATTCAAGCATATACATGTGTATTGAATACAGTTGATAGATTTGAATGCTGTCTGACTGAGTTTAGAATTTTAACTTCAGTCAGACAAGTCTCTTACACATATCCTAGCGTGCACAAATAGTTGTACAGATGTTAACTTTAGGCCCATGAAACAATTCAACATTTCTTTATACACTTTTTCAATGCTATTGTAAAGCACGTTTGAACTGTAATTTCCAACACAAGAAATTGGATTTTGACTGTACGACTCCAGTCTTTGTCAAGGAATGAGTAATCCACCTCTTCTGTGACATCACGTTATGTAAATGACACACGTGACATGTAGGTTGCAGAAAGCACCCCGTCTTAAAGGGCTGGTTGCAATGCTCTTAATGTAGATGGCTCTTTAATACCTCATGCAAACAAGTCTGGTTCCATGCTCAAGATTCTAAAGTTTGTACAATGAGACTGAGTATCCAATCACTGTTGTTTTCAACACTGTTGTTGTTTTCCACAGTCCAGAGCTGCGGTGACCCAGGTCGCCCTTCCAATGGGAACTACAACTCCACAGGGTTCACCTACAGTAGTACTGTCCTGTTTAGCTGTAACCCTGGCTACATGTTGACTGGCACCCCATCCAAGTACTGCACAGCAACAGGAGAGTGGAAACCAGATGGCTCCCCCATATGCATGGGTCAGTACTTAATGAACACAAGGAGAGCCTATGAAAATTGAGACATTTTTGGATAAACAAAGTCATGACATTGTACAATATAAGGGCACACCAATTTAAATTGTTGGTTCTCAGATTTTCCTCTTCCTTTTTTTTCTGAATTGCAAAACAAAACAAAACAAAACAAAAAAAGATTCTGGTTCTCAAAAATGCCCCTTTTTGGCCCCCAACGGTTAGGTCCTTTTCTTCCTAGTTCTTCCTAGTTCTTACAGTTTTTCTATTTATTAAATGCAGTGGTTAGGTGAAAAGTTTAAAATTCATTGTTTAAATATTAACATAGCCTTTTATGTTGACTTCACAGTTTTTGCTATAGCATTTGGAGCTATACAAAGTCATGTAAATATAATAGGATGCCTAGACCTGATTTTTTTTTTCGCCGTTACTTCATATTTTTCATGAAAAAATCCAAAAACCAACAAAGTAAATTGGTCCGGCCTAATGACTCAGGAAAGTCACAAAACTGTGATTCTGAACTCATAGACAATGTTATCTAGTATGGTTGAAAGGCTTCGTTTGTAAAAGGTTACTTTGTAAGATCCTGCACTCGTCCCCTGGTATAAAGTGCCTTTCCTCTAATAGGAACACAACAATGGGGCCTGCCTGGGATTAAAACCACGATCCTTCAGATTCTGAGTAAATGATTCTGACCAGAAGACCACCTTGACACCCCCAGTCTGAACAAGATTAGGAGTCATACAATCATGTACTTATCAATCCACATCTTGATTGAGTGTATGTATATTGCAGAAGAACTTAGTGTCTTCAAGTCTTGCAATCTATTGTTCCTCTCTAGTTGTAAACTGTGGAGATCCTGGTATTCCTGCCAATGGTGTGATCACAGGCAGTGAGTTCACATACGGGCACTTTGTCACCTACACCTGTATCACTGGACACAGTCTGATTGGTCAGGCTAACCGCACCTGCCAGGCCAATGGACAGTGGAGCAACAGTCTGCCTGCTTGTCAGGGTAGGTCATTGATGGCAAACTCTTTTCCAGTTATCATAAAATATTTAGATTTTAAAGCTATATATCAGTCAATTGCAAGTGTTCATGCAGCTGAATATGATGATGTATGCAGCTGAATATGATGATATATGATGATATGTCAAAGAAAGACATTTTCCTTCTTAGTACTCTGTCTTTCTCTTTTTTGTCTTTCTTCCTACACCCCATAGCCTGATATCTAGCTGGGCTGGATAGTGTTTTGATATTGGGTGTTCAAGGTAGTAATGGCCCTTCAAAGAAGGATCTTTAATTTTGATAAGTAACTTTTTTAGGTCTTCAAAGACTTGCAAGTATATTGTACTCAGAAGGAAGCAACTATTCATGCAAGCCAATATCATAACTGACTCATGTCATTGACCATGTTGATTGTTGTTCCAGTTGTTAACTGTGGAGCCCCACCACCTGTCCCATACAGCACTGTGGAAGGCAATAGCTACACGTTTGGCAGCAGTGTCTCATACAACTGTTCCACAGGATACAGGCTGATTGGTCCTAACGTACTTACATGTAGAGCTAATGGATATTGGGGAAGCAACCTGCTGGGGACAACGCAATGTGTCCGTAAGTAACCTACAATGTATATACGCACGTTCTACCTACATGTAACTATTTTCTGGTGGCATCAGTGTTATCACTGTTTTTTTAATGTGTATTTAGACAAGGGGCCATTTATAAGAACAGTAGTTTCAATATTAAGTTTTGACACAATGCCATACAAATGGCCTTATTTCTTTGAACTTGAAAACATAGGTTTGAATTTCAGCTGTATCTTGTGGCGACCCTGGTGTCCCGGCTAATGGCCAACGACAGGGGAGCCGCTTCACCTTCGGAAGCAGAGTGACCTTCACTTGTGACGAAGGGTACATCCTGATTGGAACCAATCAGCAGCAGTGCATGGCTGACGGAAGATGGAGTCCATCCTCTTTACCTGTCTGTCAAAGTCAGTGCAAGTTTTCAGAAACCCTAAGTTCAAAGCACTACGTTATTTGAATGCATGTTTATCTTGAACGCCTAACATATCTGCAGGAACTACTCGCTAGGTTGTAAGATAATCATTTAGCACACAGAATGACACCATTTGTTTAGTCCAATCAAAGAATTACCACTTTCAGTTGACTTATAACTGTTGTTCGGCCACTTGTTATTCGGAAAGTCATCTCTTTAGTAACAAATGTCAATGTGGTTTAAGAAACAAACATCTTGCCATTTCCCACCTTTCCACAGCTGCCACTCAGCAGTCCTGCCGTGACCCCGGATCACCAGATCATGGCAGCCGAAACGCCACCAGCTTCCTCCCTGGAGCTATCGTCCGTTTCCACTGCCAGGACGGCTACCACATCCTGGGCCCCACCAGTCTGATCTGTGACCCAGCCACGCTGAGCTGGAATGGCCAGCCACCAACCTGCGTCCGTGAGTACCTGAAGCTTTTGGAAGCCAAATAGTAGTGCAGATTTGTTCAGTATTAGTATGTGAGCATAATTACAGAAAGTGAGCATAATTACTGTAACACCACAATTACTTGGAATCATCCATAATGCTATTTGACAGTGTTTTAAAATCTGTATTGAATGAACGTCATTTATTTAAGGAACTGCTCATGAAGTGTAAATGAGTGAACTTCTCTCCCCTTCACCACCACACAGCCCACAACTGCGTGGAGCTGGAGGCTCCAGACCATGCAAACATTGTTTCAGTGAGCGACCTGCAAGGTCAGGGGTACACAACTATCTTCACCTGTCAGCGTGGATATACACAGACCAGCGGAGACACGATCAGGGTCTGTCAGGACAACGGACAGTGGAGTGGGAAACCTATTGTCTGTGAAGGTATGTTCATGTGTTGTGCTTGAACCTTAAGTTTGTTTATTCATGAAAAGCTCAAATTGGCCTGCAGGCCACTTTTCATGACGGAAGAGGTAAGGATCAGATAAAAATAAAGTTTACATCATCATTTAAAGTCCTGACAAATCTATAAACATGTCATTACACATACATGGTACAAAATACATACATAGGAGTGAGAACTGGTGTATGTTTTGTCAAATGAATAGATTTAATGTCAAAATACAAAATTTTATTTTAGCTTAATTTTTTTTTATTTTTAGTGGGAAGTAAGCCTAGTGAGAAGCCACCTACTGTCCTCTATCCAACCACGCCTGAACCCAAGCCCACTGTGCCTGTGCAAGCCTTTGTAGAGGAGCAGATCTGGACTGGTTTTTATGAATACAAAGGCAGGAAGCACCCCTGTACGCTCACCATCACAGCTGTGCTGCAGAGCTCCTTTACCATTATCGGAGACTTTGATGATGGCTCTTCCTCCTTCACTCTTTTAGGTGACTTAAACCTTCCAAGTAGTTTTGTCATATTTGGGAGAATTTAGTGTTGATAGCTGTTGTGAAGAATGAATTTGGATTTAGTATTTTTACTTACTCTGTTGTTGTTACCAGGAACCTACAAGCCAGCAGAGAACGCTCTGACCCTTCTTGGTTCAGACCTCACACTGGCTGATCCAAGTAACTTCATGGGACTTACCAGAGTAACATTTGATGGATATGTAAGTTATAATTTAGTTACATAGTTGGTTACAAATATGTGGGGATTGGTACATGTTAATATACTAGCTTGAGAATGTGTAAGACATTGAGGTTCTGCCTCAGTGCCAGGCACTGAAATGTGGCGAGGATGATAATGACATATAATAGACATATTATTAGTACATCAAGACTAAGTCTTGTAGACCTTGATTCAAGTTCTACATCTAAAGTTTTGCCTAGAAAATCTCTTGTAAAATTGTCTTTAAATGCTTTATTTCTTTACTCCAGTTGTACTACATTGCAGGAGGCTTAATGTACAGTGGAGATATCCTGGCAACTGACTTTGGGAGCTTTGATCTCCAAATCTCAAGTTTGTCATCTTTCATTATTTGCAATTACTGAAATATCTATCGAATACTGTTGACACAGCTGCCATATCTGTACACATACATGTGGTTGAGGAATAGTTTCTATTATTAACTTAGCTTTTTGTGCCTGTGCAAAAAGTACAAAAAGTCAGCCAATAAAATCAGGTTAGAGCATTGTGAATGGCAATGAGTTATAGGAAGAAAATGTTACATCAACACACATCTTTGTTTTAATCTGTAAAGTTCTGTAAATGGAGCTAAGTCCTCAGGATTAAGTTGGACTTAACTGTACTATCATTTAATTCCACGAATGTTTTAATGCTTTTCCCATGCCAGGTTCAGAGATTCCCAATTCAAAGCCCCAGTCAGGTAAGGGTCTGAGTGGAGGTTCCATAGCTGCTGCTGTGTTGGTGCCCATCCTCTGTCTGGCTGTACTTGCCCTGGGAGTTTATGCCTGGCACCTCAAGTGAGTTTCCCTCCTACATGTACATTAAGTAATGTAATACCAAAATAAACTGGATATCCGGTTGCTTCATTTACTTTGTGTTACATTACATTTACATGTTTACATGTTCTATCTGGATGTGTAACCTTCATCGACGTATAAAGGGCCTTTACCAGACGGCATTCTGGTTCATTCCACCTAAGAAATACATCAAGCCTGGCTTAGTCTGGTTGTACATAAAAATAATTTTCTGGCCTGCATCAGTGGCTGTGCTCTTACCAATTTAGGCTACTCATTCACCTAGTATGTAGGGGGACCGCTTACATAACTCAGACCAAAAGATAACTAAACAAATCTGTATCAATATTCCACATTCTATAATTGACCCAGGCGTACTGGCCAGAGGTTCAGCTTCTTCAGCCGTTATGGGGAGGGAGACGATGATGCTTCATTTGAAAATCCATGTTACAACACAGCTGAAGGGGTAAGTTGTGATTTTTTTTGTAGCAATTAAAAGATGAGCTAACTTTGTAGTAGCATTTCTACTTTTGGTAATACATTGAAGAGTTGTTATAATTTGAGTGTGATCTCATATTTGCTCAGTGCAAGAGCTTCAGCAGTAAGAAACTTCATTTGGTTAGATAGTTCTCAGCCCCTTTTAAATTAGACATTTTGTTGCTGGATAGTTGAATATCACTTGAATTTCAGTTATATTCTACACTCAGTTTAATTTGAAGCAATCCCAATGACACTAATGTACAACATATGGTAGTATAGATTACTTAACCTGCCTTTAGGCCACACCAATTTAATTTGTTGGTTCTCGGATTTTTTCAGAAAAAATATGAAGCGACAGGGCGAAAAAAAATAAAAATAAAAACAGGTCTAGGCATCCTATTATAGGCTTAAATGCTACGAAACGAGCCATGAAGTCAACACAAAAGGCTGGGTTAAAATTTAAACATTGAATTTTGAACTTTTAATCAATCCACTGCAATGATAGATGGGAAAACTGTAACAACTAGGAAGAAAAGGACTTTCCTCAACTGTTGGGGGCAAAATATGAGCATTTTTCAGTTGATTCAGAAACAGAATCATATATTTTTTTTTTGCAAATCAGAAAAAAACGAAGAGGTGAATCCGAGAACCAACATATTAAATTGGTGTGGCCTTATGTCAATCTTTTACCCAGACATTCAATCCTTGGCCCCCTGTACATTACCATGGGTCATTACTAGTGCTGCATACCGGTTCACTGGACTTGGATCCGGACTTGTAAGAATGTTTAGGTTCAAGTCCAAAAAAACCTAAAAGTTAAGAACCGAGTCCGGACTTATTACCATAAAAGACCATTTCACATACCCCTTTTCTTTCCAAACCACCTAAAACCCTCCGTAAATTGCAAAATCTTTGCTGCAAAATGAAGAAAACATTGCCATCGGGCATCGTCAAGTACCGGCCTCCATGTTATGTGGCCAAAGTTTCACCCAGACAACATTGCAAGGTTGCCAACATGCAATTTTGTATATGTCATGGGTTTAGGTCCGGACTTACAAGTCAGGAACTGAACCTAAACCTTTGGACTTGAATCCGGACCTGAACCTAAATGTGGGTTTAGGTATGCAACACTAGTCATTACTAATAACTGGATTTAGATTGAAATTTCAGGTGGCAATATTTATATTCAATGAGTACACATCATTATTCCATTGTCTCAGGGTCATACATTTGTACTAGATACTCCTGTAGAAACATTTGTGGATGACCAAGGTGTGCAGAGCTTTCCTGTCCACAGTGAGTTACAGCATGGACAGTACACCAGCAGAACGTACTGCACCTGTGCAAAATCCAGAGTTTTGTTGGACGTATGGTCAACATTGTATCAGAATTTTGGCTGTTGCAGACAAAATCTTTTCTGACACAACATTTGAAAACTATAGACAGTGGCGTCTGTGTGGTGTAGTGGATAGAGCATCCGACTGTCAACCGCAAGACCCAGGTTCAATCCCCAGGGTTGGACCCAGACATGTCCGGACATGCACCCAGATGTTGTGCCCTTGGGAAAGGCACTCAACACGCATTTCCCCCCTCAGTTAGAGGGTTCCTGGGCCCTACTAGGGTTTGGGTTGGCGTTAGGAAGAGCATCCAGCCGTAAAAATCTTGCTTCAAAAAAGACTTGTACCTGGTGCAAGCACGTCTAACCCCCGGCTGGGGAAAAATGACGTTAAATTTGGTTTAAAAAAAAACAGGATGTCATCCTCAAATACACGAATATGACCTTAAATGAGATGTTCTGCCAAAGTGCCATGCACAATACATTAAGTGTTTTGCACAGGCACAGTACATTCTGCCAACATGTTAGCATGGACAGGTATTACATCCTAATGCTCCTGCTTTTTTCCTGCATGAAAAAGACTTCTCTGGCATGCATGTCTCAGATTGTGAGGAGTCCTGACTACATTATATCTTGGTATACATCTATACCCATAAAAGCATGCCACCAGTCAGTTATTGACATGTTTGCAAGCATGCCAAGGGATGTATGCAGCATGACCACAAGTTTTAAAAAGCAGAGGTTCAAGAATTTACACCTGACATTTTGAACATTGTGTTTGTTTCAGGTGTCAGTGAATGTGGCAGGACAGGACTAATCAAGAATGAAGAAGTTGCTATGTGTGGACCCTAGTCTAGTCAACCTGTGATGGATTACAGTTAAAGGTGTATCTGATGGATGTTTCACTTTATTCTCTTTTTCATCCTACAAGATTGGCTATGGATGTTTAATGTTCATATATTAAAATATGTCAGTCTTCACTTTTATTATATAGCTGGGGAAAATTTTCCACTGTTTCTACAGCAAAATCATTCAAGAAACATAGGTGATAATGTTTAACTCTACTACATTTTGACTTAAATGTGTGTGTGGGGGAGATGTTATAGAAATTAAGGAATGTACAAATTTTTGACACTAAGTATGCTGCTCTTTGAAATGAGATTAAGTAATATTGTAGAAAAGTGTAAACAACTGTTGATTGTTGCATTATCAAAGGAATAACCTCTGAAAGAAATAATACAGGGCGTACTTAGCAAGCTTTTTACCTAGGTCATTAAAAACGATGAACTGATTGCTAATGTTGTATATTTTATCAGATCATAAGTACTTTTGTTTGCTTTAAAAAAATCAATGCAAGGCATGGTTCTTGCCATTGTGTGTTGTTCAGGCTTTAGTTGTAGCTTTATTACCTTCATCTGCCAAGAATATAAGTCAGTTTGCATGCAAAACCCAAAATCTTCTCTTTTGCTTTAGAAATGGAGAGACTTCTTCTGTAGTTTTTTTTCACTTATTGATTTATAAATGCTACTTTCATCATACATTTATACATACATACAAATCTGGGCTTTGATTATTTGCTACTTCATAGCCTCACTCAAATCTTCCTTCATACTTTCACAGCCCATGTTTGTTGTTAAGGAATAGACACTGAGGTGTTCAAAACTCATTTTTCCATAGAAATATCGTAGAATGGAACTTGCTGCCACCAAGTACAGGTCGCTCATTGTAATATAGTTAGCTGCTATCACGCCGCGTGCCTTCAAAGCTGGTGTGTTACGCTGGAGGGTAGTTATACCGGCTATACAGATAGAAATACAGATATAGTGTAAAATATATCTGTATCAAGGAAACATGCCTGTAGCATATCACAAAAGTACAAATTGCAATGGACAATAAAATGATGATGCACGAGAAAAGGTAGTGTTGTGTGTTGATTAATATCAATCATGGCAAGAAGAATCTGATAAGCCTGAATTTTCCTGGTTTATCATTTGCATTGGCAAAGAAGAAGGAAGAGAATGTCAAAAATCGAATAGAGCACTTCAGGTTGTTGATTTTTTTTTCAGATTACAGCAATAACCATAGTATTCATAGTTTTACTATTTTTTTGGCAATATAATGCAATGTTCAAATCCCAAGAACACAAAACCTACAGCTGTTCAAGAACTTTTGTCAGGTGTTGCTTATCGGAAAATTTCACTCCGTCTATAGTAGCACCGAGAAAAGAGGAAGCTCTGGAGGGGAGGTCTCCGTTTTGCATTTACAAAACAAATTCAGCACCAAGGACAGGGGTGGGCTGGAAAGGCAATGTACAACACGTCAGTATTTACGTTGGAAAGTGGTAGGAGATTCAGCTTTGATTCAGTAAAATGAGTGTATTACGTACGGCACCAAGAATGTTTAGGGGATTACTAATTTTATCTTTTCTCTTTCAAGTCCTTCAGGTAGCCATTCTGAGGATTGCATGGGATCAAAGGATTTTGTACCTTATTATTCTTATTTCCCAAAGTCTGTTCGTTTTTTTCCATCAGATATGTCCCCTCTACAGTCAATCTTGTGCCGTCCCTGGGAAGACTATTTAGACATTTTCCCCATGTCCAAATATGGTGCTCATCTTTATTCCAGGTTATCCAGGTACATACCGCTTCCGCCGGAAGTCGATAAGTACCGGAAGTGCATTCACGACTAATTGAACTGAAGGGTCGTCGACGTTGCAAACACGCAGATTTGTCGGTTCTTGCCGTATGATTCTCAAAGTTAAACCCAGGGCGACAGTTGTACAAAAAGAACCCAGGCAAACGTGCAAGGAACGAGCACGACTTCCGCCGGCCGCTTCCGTTTCCGCCAGATGTGCCGCACCAGATCGAACAATATCTCAAGCAAGGGGGGATCCAGAAAATGGCTTCCTGTTCGCTTTGCAATATTGTTCAGGTTGGGATAAACCATCCGTAAACAGCTTCCGGGTGCCAATCATTTCTATAAATTGTAGAATAACTGTTCACCTCTATAGCTGATATAAGACCAAACTGTTACTTCATGCTCACTTTTCTAATTACTTATTCCTCCTTCCCACTGGACCAAGGAGTATGTTTTGGAATAGTCGTTATTAACATAATTTATGCATATACGACACGTGGGGTTACATAACCTCGAAATTGGAGATGATATCAAATTTCTTCTATCAAGGTGTCTGGTATACACTGAATCACACAATTTTCCCTCAAAAGTCTGTTCGTACATTTATTTCATTTCATTGTGTCTAATCTAATTATTTGTTTTAATTAAATTTTGCTTTCTCTCTACTTTTGTAATTTCATGAATATGATTGTTATTCTTTGTGATTCTGTGTTATTGTATTTCATTATTTCTTGTTTTTTTTTAGGCAATTGAGTAGTTTGCGCGTTAAGTCACAAAACACATCTTCATGGGGCTTACATGCATGTAATTCGCCACGCCTATGGCAAAACCCATCAAAGGTTATCGGTTAGAGGGTTATTCTAAGTTTTTGCGTTAGGTACCTTCGCCAGGAAGGTTATGTATTCGGTACAAATCAAACTTTAAATTCATCCCAAGGACTCAAAGTCAATTCGCAGAACCACGTTTAATTGTATATTAATTAATCTTGCGGTTTAAGTTACAGGCACATGCCTTTTCGCATGTTTAGAGATTAAAATAAAATAAAAAAAATTAAGACAAGGACCAATGCCCTCTTCAGTCGGTCAGCTGCTAATCCAAGCCTCGTCGCGCTTGCATGAAAATATATAAGTCTGTCAGAAGGGAAAATGCATTATATGTCTTGTCAATTCGCCGTCAGGGTAAGTGACGCTGGGACAATGTGTGTTGTGGGCCTGATCACAGTATGTGCAAGTGACCTGCGCTACCTAAAATGGACATGATGTCACACGTACATGTAAGCTGTGATAACGCCTATTGACGACAATACGCTGTAGGGAATTAGGACCCTTAATGCTGTTTCCGGCCGGGCGATGGAGGGTCTTCTTGAGGTTGCACATAGCGTAAAACCAGAGCGTAGATGTTGCTGCTTCCCTACGCTGACCGAATACGTGACATGCTGATTATGGTAATATTGACGAATATTTGCATTTCCGAATGTTGCCGAGCGCTTACGAAGATATCCGTTACCTCAGGGAAAGCACAACGTAAGCCTTGCTAAAAATAGACCGGGCAAGCGGGCAGCAACAGTTGGGACGAGATTGGCTTACATTTGTGTATCGTAACCTTGTGTGTACGTACACACAAAAACGCAACAGTTCCGGCTTTGCTTGTGCACTGCATGCTTACTCCGAGTTGGCAGGTCGTGAGCTTCTTACCGTGCATTATCTACTACCTCCTCGGCGCTACACCTCAAGACTTCCCGCCCGGGGATCAGCCGTGTCCCCATCTCACCTGCATCCACCCTGTAATAGGACCACCCGGGATTTCAGCCGTGAAGCAAGGATTTGTCAAGGTAATGCATTTTACACAAGGTCTAAATGGGAGCACAGCTCTGTGTTATTGGGACGACCCTTGCGCGTTTTTCTAGCCTTCTTATCATGACCGCACCCAAATTTTAATCCGACTGCGGGATTTCCCCATCATTTTACAACCACAGATGTGCAGCTAAACAGTACACGTATACGGCATCTGCAGAATTGGAGCAAAACGTTGTATTAGCAATAAGCATAATATTCAAAAGGACCAAGTGGGTTTCACGGTTTTAACTGCCACGGATGTAAACATTACGTACAGCACGTTTGTATTGGTCTCCGTGTATGGCACAATTGATGCGGGATTTTGCGGCGAGCGCTTTTGAAGGTCGACCGTATGGCTGTCGTTGCTATGGCGACCAATTCATCCTTGCAAATAAAACCATCATTTGCGGTTATATGTTTCCCCGGCAAGGGTCAGGAGAGACTGTCCAGCCTAGTCGCAAGTATGACATAACCAGGCATGTTTTTCTTGCCACTTCTTCTTTTCATGGATCATGGAAACAGATGACCCTTGACAGCTCTGCAGGCGTGGCCTGTGCGATTCGGTCCGTGTTGCTTACATGTACATCCCGGTACGTGGGCTGCCCTGTGGAGGCTGACAAGTCGTCCTATGTATTTTTCAGGACGGCAGCGTAGTGAATAAATAACTATAATCTTCCCCGGTTGCAAGTACTTTTTTTTAAGTTTTATTACGCTTTAAATCACATCGTTTCTCGTGTGTCTCCTATCACTCTGTCAGTACTATGTGGAGGGCGATGTCCAATCCTCAATCAGTGTCCTGATGGTTTTGCAGATAAAATGGCAGGTGATAGTTGACCTTTCTGTACGTATTTGAAAGCCTTGTTTTTTGGAACCGTTTCTGTAGCACTTAAATAAATATCACCAAAGCACTAGATAGACTGGTCACGCGAATAATATAATAAACCGGTACGGATTAATTAATTCACAGGAGGTGATCTGTTCCATATGCACCTCAGTCATCACCAGACAAACAACTCCAGAATCCGATTCTTCCGACATCTTCCTTCCTCTATCATCTAATGATGCAATTGACAATTGATTATTTAGTCAATGTTAGAATGCGAAACATTTTGTATAGTCATTATAAACCTTTCATTTTGCATCATTACTGCTTGAATACCTTTTAGGCATTTAAATGACCATGTATGTGTTCATCTGATTGACAAAAAATCATTATAATAAGTATATTCTTAATAGACAGGATTTGCTATGTACTAGCAAAGGTCATTGAGGTTTTCACATGTTTTCATTTCCTGCAAGTGGATATTTATTTGATTGTCTGTCACATCTCCATACTGTAGTCCACCATTAATACCGAATAGTAACAAGTTAAAGAGCAATGTTGAATACAGAAGTAGATAAAACATAATCGACTCACAGCGACTTTGACATTTTGTATGTCGAAGTTTTAGAGGTTTGTATCAACTTTGTCGCCAGCCAATACTTGTAAGTCATCCCGTCTGTGTCCTCCCCACGGTCACTATTTTCCATGGTACCGGGATGTCATTCAGCTCATTACATCATTCTGGTGGTAAGATGGTCTTCAATTGTGGTTAGAGGTGTTGACTCAGAAGTTGAAGGTTTTGAGTTCGAATCCCTGGCAGGCCCCATGGAGTGCTGTGCCCTTGTGAAAGGCACTTAACACCTATTGCTTCACGCAAGTCAGGTTAAATATGAGTACCCACCGTCGGTTAGGGACGCCCTCTCAGATAGGATGTAAAGCTGAGGTCCAGTGTTCGGGGGGAGGCATACCTCAAGCACATGAAGTAGAGATCCCACCACTCTTATGGAGCAGGGGTTCTTTCCGGTGTGAGTGGTTCAAACCTTACAGTCTGGTTGACATCCTCAAAGGTGAAGGTCACCTGTCAATCACAATGTGTAGTAAATATGATGAATAAATAAAGAAATAAATCGTTGGCACAATTCACGAAAACAGTAGAAAAACAACCGTTTACTCAATCTTATCAATGCTTTATACGCAACAGAATTTTCAGCAGTCCGGTTGGCAAGAGTAGATATTTGGTGCAATTCTATAGATCTAAACCATGCTGGACAACTGATTTCCTTGCTGTTGAGGTGCAAGATATTGTTTTCACCATGCTTTTCCCCATGCAGGTAATATTCAAATAACACTGATTAGTAACGGTTACCTCAGTCTGTATCCAGTGAATGAGCCACTTGTAGACCATGCACAGTGGTTCAGTGCGTCCAGACCTTGAAAATTGAAAGTCATTTGTTTACATGACCTTTATACTTAAAATACCGACATGATGTCAATTTTAGGAGTCAAGGCAGTCGAAAATGCAGCTCTCGTACATCTTAGGCCCTTGTCACATTTACCTGAAACCCGATCACGCAATGTATTGGTTGTGAAATATATGCGTGCGTTGATAGTTACAT